ATCTGTAAATATTCATCAGTAAATATTCATACTTGATAAAATGTGACCTTTCCTGAACAGTTTCATATTGAGATCACGTTATGTTATAATTACTTTGTGGTGAAAATTACAACATTGTCTAAAAGAGCTTTTAAAATGATCATTTGGGTATCAAAATCGGTATTGACTATAGAGTCGAATCAAAATCATGTTTGAATTTTTCGTCTCGTCAACACTCCTTGCGTCGCGTTTCAAGCCAGGCCCAAACTTGGTCGTCCAATCAGATTTGCTTATTTCAGGGACGAATATGAAACGAAGGAGCTCATTGGTCGCTTATCACCGCAACCTGCAACATTTTATTTAAAAGTGCACCACAAAACTTTATAATTACCTTGGCGTCTCCATGAAAACCTGCCTGTTTCTATAGAGATGCCATTGCTCTGCCTGAAATGTTCCACAGTATAACATTAAACATCTCTACTTTACATTTATTCAATTACAGGTGGTTTTATAGCTCAGAAATACCTTAAAAACAGGAATTCTGAAAATTTTAATGCCGTACATCACAGGTGTCAAACATGCGGCCCGGGGGCCAGATCCGGCCCTCCAAGACCTTTAATCTGGCCCTCGGCTGATTTTCTACTAAAATATTTTGATTCTATTTTTTATTAAAATATTGTTAATTTTCTGTGGTGTTTATAACAGCAGCGTCTCCAGTGTCTCTGTACGTGGCCCCTCCCACCAGAGAGCAGCACAAATGAAGACTTGTCTCTTTCCAAACGCTCTTAAAGGACGATCGTCGTTTTGACTGTTGACCGTGACACCCTCATCAGAAAAATGTCCAAAATGAGAAAAGTGGAGCCGAGTGCAGGATTTTCCAAGAAAAACTTGCGTATTCCTATTTATACAAGTTAATGTTAAACAAGTTCATGTTAAAATATTGTGTTGAAATTGTATTTTTCTTAAAGTTTCAGGTTGTTCATAATATTATAATATTTTGTAAAAGAAAGAGTTCATCAATTAAAAAAAGATTTCTGTAATAGATTTGCATTTCTCTGCACAAATATTTGAACTTATTGTTATTTTTGGGGTTTATATGACATGAGTTTTCTGATCCGGCCCCTTTGGGATCAAAGTCAGTTGGATACGGCCCCCGGACCAAAATGAGTTTGACACCCCTGCCGTACATACAGACAAAGCAATAACATCGCCATGGAGACAAGCATTTCATCGACATTCCACCAAAAAAGCTGCACAGTGCACCTTTAAATTATGCATAACTCCAAAGGGTAAATACATGTCCACTCTCAGTTTGAACATTTTATTTTATTTTTTTTTTTTTACAAGTCTGAGTTTTGGTCCTTTCTCTTTGTCATCCGTCTTTTGAGCAGCAGATTTAAAAGATTCAGATCCCATAAAATATCCAAAAGTCCCATCGCTCGTTTTAATGCCCCGTCGTACCCGTCGTAGAAACGCACCATCCATTACTCAGCCTTTTCGGGCATTAACATAAACAAAGTTGTGCTCCAAGGTGAGACAGGGTCACGCGGGGGCCACTGCTGCAGATGCCCTCCCCTGCCCCCTCCTCCCCTCCTCCAGGTGTGTTTGCCTCTGTCCCGGGGTGGTTCCGTATGGTTCAGTCCGCTCCACACTGTGTTCTGCTGGAGGTCGGACGTGATGGATGAGAAGTCCCAGCATGCAGCAGTGCCTTTGTGTGTGTGTGTGTGTGTGTGTGTGTGTGTACAAGGCTCTAAATATAGAATGTGGATGTTCAAATCGTGTCTGAAGTTTTACACGAAAGCTCTTTTGTTTTATCATTTGCATAAAGGGAGTTGGTGGGTGTTTTTGCTTATAAAATTTTAATTGAATGAAATAAAAAAAAATACACAACCGTGATGAGTAGTAGTACATTTTTGTTGTTGTTTTGCACCAACTACTGCTACTGAGAATAAATACTACTACTGCTGCTACTACTGCTACTGCAATAGTACAAAAGCAAGTAAATACTGCTACTGATTCTGCATCTACAACAAAACAAACGAGTACTACTGCTACCTGCCGTGACTACTGCAATTGCAAGTGAATAGTGCTCCTACAACTACTATGACAAAAGTACTGCAACTATTACTATAGCTACACTGCTGCTACTACTAGCCTACTATTACTATTACTACTAACTACTACCTACTAACTTACTAACTACTGCACCTATTACCCTACCTATTTAGTACCTACTCAATGACTACATCTATTACATATGCACTACTGCTACTACTACCACCTATTAAATGTTGTTGACGATGATGGCTGCTACTACTACTACTACTAATATTACTACTAATGCCTATTGAACTACTATCACTACTACTAGTAACACCACCTATTAAACTACTACTACTGCTACTACCTGCTGCTACCTACTGCTAGCTACTACTACTCTACTACTGCTACTACGACTACTCTACTACCTATTAAACCACTACTACTACCGATTAAACTACTACCACTACTACTACTAACACCACCTATTAAATTGCTACTATTACTACTACTACTACCACCTATTAAACTACTGCCACTACCTATTAAACTATTACTACTTCTACCTGCTACCTGCTACTACCTACTATTACTGCTACTACTACTACTACTCTTCTACTGCTACTACTACTACTCTCCTACCTATTAAAGCACTACTACTGCTACTACTACTACTACTTCTACTACTCTACTACTGCTACCTATTAAACTACTACTGCTACTGCTACTGCTACTACTACTACTACTACTGCTACTACTATTACTACCTATTAAACTGCTACTGCTACTACTGCTACTACTACTACTACTGCTACTACTACTACTGCTACTACTACTACTGCTACTACTACTACCTGCTGCTACTACTGTTACCTACTGCTACTGCTACTACTACTACTACTACTAATGCTACTACTGCTACCTACTACTACTGCTACCTACTACTACCTACTACTACTGCTACTCCTCTACTACCTATTAAACTACTACTGCTACTCCTCTACTACCTATTAAACTACTACTGCTACTCTACTACTACTACTACTGCTACTCCTCTACTACCTATTAAACTACTACTGCTACTCCTCTACTACCTATTAAACTACTACTGCTACTCCTCTACTACCTATTAAACCTACTACTACTACTACTACTACTACTACTACTACTACTACTACTACTACCTGCACACCTACAGTTATTATCACTCACAAGTGCTACAACTTTGTGTGGAAAAATGAAACAAACTCCGACTACAGTTTGTTTTCTCAGTTGCTCTCACTACAATACTCTCTTCCTTTTTAATCTTTTCCAGTTAAACCAGTGTCATTTCAAACAGGTGTGAGACGGAGCCGCTCGTGTGATGTTTCCCAAACAACATATGGTCGCCCAGACTCCAGCGCTGCACCGTCCCCTCTCCCAGATTAAACCAGATGAATTATACCAACTTGTTATTTTTCTTCACAAAACTACTCCTTTGTCACAACACCTGGAGTCGTCATCCACCATTTTGAGGAAAAATCTATTCTGTGCTACTGTGTTTCTGCAAAATCATCCCTTTTATTCAACTAACTCCCATTTAAATAAGATCAAGAGTTATTTTACTACTATGCTATAAAAGGGAAAATCTTATACGCATTACCTAGGGATGTAACAATAACCGAAATATTGTTAAAATTGTATCGTCAAAAGTTTCTCAATAATATCAAGAGCTGTCACAATATATCAAAATACAAGTCCCTTTGCCTTAAATGCATTGTTTTATTGTAGTAACAGCTAATAAACATCGGGAACTACATATCCCATGATGCATTTCAGTGCAGACAACATGAAGAAATATGTTTTTTACTTGACTTCATGGGATTATGACAGTATGGAGTCAAACCAAAGTCTTGTCAATGTATTTTAAAAGCAATAATTAACCTTTCTACAATTATTTTAGCTTCTCCAAAATATCCAAATCTCACGGTACAATATTTATTACGATATTGTTTCATCTCTAGTATTACCGTGTTTTATTAGCTTCACTTTCGTTTTTGACGTTCTGAGCCTCCCGTCCCTTTGCTCTCAAAGTCACTGTAGCCTGATTCATCAGCCTGTTTCCCTTTTGTAGAAGCCGTCTGACCTTGCACCATTAGGATTTGTCCGCTAGATGGTAGGCGGGTATTTTTTTTTTTTTTTTATTTAACCAATCACTGCTATTTGGTCGTGACGTATGTAATGCTCCAAATCCCATAGGAAAAAGGACAAAAACGTCTTTCCCCCTTGATAAAATTAACCAAACATTCTCTTTGTTCCGGCTTTAAAACCTCGGTCTCGGGAATCGTTGCCAACACAGAATGTCTGTCTTCGTCTACATCCATCTCGACCGCTTTGTTTACTGTTGTCAAACTCAAACCCTTTTGTGGAACTGCACGTCATGCCTTCACAGCTCTTCTCTGATTGGTCTTCAAATTCTGAGGTTCTTGCAAACTGTCTAGTGTATTCCGATTCCTAACCTAGTTGCTGGAGAGAACTGAAGTTATGTGAAGGCACAAGGTGGCACAAGCCTGGTTAAAGTCACTGCCCTTCAGAGCACCATCACACACTTTTAAACTCCACACACCTTCACTAGAATCAGTTGGATGATTTCAGCTCTGGAATTGTCAATCTTTACTGAACCAAAAGGTAAAAGGAGCTGTTAACTTTTTAAAAACTACCACTACATGACATCACAAGGTGGAACAGAGCGTTTTGAGATGTAGACGGACTAATAATAAAGGGTTACAAACGTGTGTGGATGAAACAAAACACAACTGTTTTTGAGGAGGTAACAACATTATAACATGACTTAAATCGCTCTGTGTAATAAAAGACTTTTTAGTATGAAGCTTTGTGTCTATTTTTTAAGCATAAGATCGACCAAAACAAAATATCTGCCATCTGAAATTTGATATATCAGCCCGATCTCTAGCTCTAACTTTGACCTGTGTGTGTTTCAGCCGTTCACGAGTTCCCGGAGGATTTCTTCAGCAACGACGAGAGGAAGAACGGAGCTGTCCTGCTGCACATTGTGGCTGTAAGTCTTTTCTCTCTCTGCCTCCTTTCGTTCTTTTCTTTCATTTTTCCCATCTTCCCATCTGTTTTTTGTCATTGTATCTCTTTACGCAAGCTCTCTTCACTATCTTATCTCCCATTTCACTTTATTTTCCATTTCAATTTTCGTTACATCTCCTCTGCTTAATCTCCTTTTTCATCTTTCCTCTCTTCTTTCTCTCTACTTCATCTCATCTCTTATCCTCGCTCTGTCTCTGTGTGTCACGTACCTGCTCCTCCACTAGAGCGTGCAGGTCCAGGAGAAGGTTAGCGCTCCAGATTGTGCTGAGTCTGATTTTTAGTTGAGGGAGTCTACAGTGAACCGTGTGACCTGTCGAGGAAACCATGTGTAAAATATCACCAAAACTTACATAAACACGGTCTATATCTCTGTTGGTTTATTATGTTTGCACCGATAATAAACGGTCCCAATAAATGGTCAGTTTCTGCTGCAGTGAGCCCAGAGCAGTGGGGTAATAACACTTAAATAACGTCCAAGCCAAATGAAGTCCAAGCCACGAAGCTACTAATTTTAGTGCTCATAAGAAATTAGCCTGAAGTACATTTAGATGCCTGTAAAACATAAACCATTATCCATTTATTAGTGTACAAAGTTAGTCAAAATGATACATGTACAATGGTAAATTAGTTAATCAAATTTTACTTATTCAGTACAATACGTGTAATTCAGAAATCCCATGGAGAGCTACTTGGAAATGGGTGAAGAGCTACTTGCTCCTGAGCTACAAGTTGGAGGCCCTTAGTCCAAGCCCTGGCTGGTTATTGGGCTTTCTTAGTTCCAAAATGTAAGATCTTTACATTAGCAGGAGATCAGGATGATCAAACACTTGCCGGTTTACACGAGAACGCTTGCGGGTGAAAACGACAAAATATTTTATCAGAAGTGCCTTTCATTTAGACGGTGCTTAAAAACGCAAAAATCTGAAACCACCCTCCAGTGTGGAAAAGTTGAATACACTCGCCATAGTGTTTCCGTCTACACTGCCCAAGACGCAAAACTCTGGTCAGATCTGCTCAGGTCGTGTACACGTTTACGTCACTTACATACAGTACACAGAAACAAACATGTCGGATCATTTCCATGTGACGGACCTTCAAACTGTTCTGGCAGCTCTAATAAACTTACAGGAGGCTCCCAACAAATGTACAGAATCTGCAGAGATACTATTAGTGAACAGAAAAGGATCTGCAATCACCTCTGTCAAATTCTGGATGCACCAGGTCGTCACAGTCGAGTCAGACGGATATGGACGAGACCTGGAGAACCAGTCGATGGTGGGACAACATTGCGGAAAGAGTAGCTGATGAAATTGTGTGTTGTGAGAACTTCCGTATGTCCAAAGACACGAATTCCACACACTTTTGCGTCACCGTATGCATGCAGACTTCCTCCCGAAAATGCTTGTCTAAACGTGGAATAAAAAGTGAAGACGCAATGCCACTTTTACGTCTTCTGTTCAGACCGTTATCATATAAACATAGCCTTAAAGGTTGTATAGAGGATTTTTTTAAGGGAAGAGAAATACAGCAACAGTCCTTGTGTGCATTCAGAATTACTGTTGAAGTTTCCTGTCTAGAAGTAATTCAGCGACCAACGCGTCAGTTTTTAGACCCTCCGTCTGCTTCGGTCGCGCCATCGCTGGACGAGATCTCCAAGAATCACCTCAGTTTGGCTTTGCTCCTTTTCCTCTTCTCTTCGCCTTTCAGCGACCTCAAAAACGGACTTTCTTTTGCGGCAAACTGGTCGTGGATTCTCGTCCGCCGTCGCGACAAACTTTGTGCGAAATGCGAGGAAGCGACAGTTCGAAAAAGCCTCTAAGAACCGCTGCATAAACCACGTAATCCCCGCGCTCCAACGAGTCAGTTATACTAGGGAGTTTGATTGACAACCTAACAGCCAATAGAAAATGAGGGAGCCTCGTTTTCTATTGGCTGATGTTTATCTGGCCACACTACGTCCACAGTTGATAGATTTTCGTTCTTTTTTTTTTTGGTCATCATAATTACAAAGCTGCTGCAGCTCTGTAATGGCATTTTAATCTTTCACTGACAGTTTGAAACAAAAAAAAAAATCTTCCATACAACCTTTTAACAAGCAAAACAAACAGCAGACATGTAAATGGCAAACCTAAAGGTACCTATAGCGTTCACGTTAGCGAAAGGACTAGACAAACAATAGTGTATAAAATCTACTTTGAAGCACAACAGCATAAGTCTTTTTTTTTTTTTTTTTCCATTTATTTAAGTATAATATATCTTGCAACAAAACAGATGTATTGTAAAAGCAGTTCTTGGAATCAAAATGAGACTACTGTGTGATTATAAAGCATTTTTATGGGCTCTATTCCCGTTCACATCATAAAACCAGAAGACGTTTGGAAACATGCGGGTGATTACTTCCGGCGAACTCTGTTGACAGTAGTAAATCTGGAAAAATAATTTTCTTCATCTAGATGTCATTGTATTCCTTTTTGTTTTTTCTTTAATAAATTGCCTATTAATTTGGGCATTATAATTTGTCCAACGTCATAAAAAATATATATGTCACTGTAGTTTTGTTATGTTCAGCAGATCAACAGTTACGACCAGCTGCCTGTAAGTGACATCGAAGCTGCGATTAGAGTCACATTCCCCATGGAAAACTTTGGCAGATTGTGAAGACCGCTGCTGCTGAATGTGTAGTTTTATCACACTTGCCCATGGATCTATAATAAAAACATAAGAAAAAAAAGAAAACATTATTATAGTTCTATGTACACGCCCAGTATCTGTAATTACAACGGAAGTCGTCATCTGCATGTTTCCAAACGTTTTCCGGTAAGCCTGAATAAAGCTTATCGGCCACAAATCGTGAAGTTACGCTGGTGCTCTGTTAGCATGCTAGTTGTTGTTTGCATTAGTGTGACCGGAAAGCTTCTCTTTGGCGTCTGGAAGCTGTGAAAAGCACAAATGAGCTCATCACGGTGAATAATTAGGATGCCATTCCAAAGCTGTTTCTTCATTTTTCAGACCGTAATCGCATAGTACTTCTTTAAATATAGTACTTCTCAAATATAGTACATCTTTAAAACGCCTCTGAGTGATGTTTGCATGTATATTACGATCTCCGCACGCAATGTCATCTCAAGGTCACGGACGGCTGGCTTCTAATTGTGCAAAAATCCTGCCAGCAGAAGGGCCTCTTATGTAACACGTGCTACCTGACACAAAGGAGCGGTGGGCGTGTGGAGCTCGGCCAATCGCAGCTCCGCGTCGAGAAATGTGTTTTGTTTACCAACACGGACCTGAACACCACTCTGCTCTGAAAATCAAACTCAATTTAGTCCGTGTGAACGTTTCCAAGTCACGTTAGGAATCAAAATTTCCAAAGTCTGGTTTTCGACACCCAGGAATTCACTTGATATAGATTATGATAACACAAAAACGAAGAAAATTCAGCTTTTTTTAATGATAGAATGTAGTTTTCATATAATATTATTTTTTTTTATCTTGGCATTTGGTTTTGTTTTCTGATAAAGCTCAAAGTCGTACTAAAAATGTTCAGGAAAGCTCAAGTTTTGTCCTGTTAAAGCGTCCATATTACACTATTTTCTGATCTATGTAATAATGTTGTTTCCTCATCAAAAACAGACCTGGAGTCTTTCTCTAAAGCTGAAAACACTCTGTTCCACCTTGTGATGTCATGTGGTAAAGCAGGAAGCGCTTCACTGTGGTTTTAAACTCCATACACCTTCGCTAGAATCATTTTTCAATAATTTCTGCTGCATTTTGCATTTTGTTCAGTAAAAAGGCAGGAAATTTCAGGATGGTTGTCTCAAAAACTATCACTTCATGACATCACAAAGTTGGAACAGAGCATTCTGAGCTTTGGAAATGTTGACGGACTAATAAAGGATTACTCAAGCATGATGCGAATGAAACAAAACTCAACTCCAGGTCTGTTTTTGATGAGAAAACGGCTTTCCAACATGACTTAAAAGTGCACAAGAGTCAACATTTCACATAAAATAAGAATTTTTTTTTATTGTCTTTTTAATTGTATATATATATTTTTTCAGTATCTATACCTGCTCAAATTAGTATCTAGTTTTGGTATTACTTTAGTGTCAGAGTTTTGATACTTTTGACAGCCCTACGTGCAATTATCCTATCAGAATTTTAATTAGTATTTTGTGTTTTTGTAGTAAATGTAGATGTCCCATTACATTATCGATCCATGGGTGAAGAAAAGAGTGTTACTGTTCCCATTAGAAAACAAAATATTATCTCTTGAATAATAACGTCAGAAAGCTGAAACCACAAATACGAAACATATACACGGTTTTCTACGTTTTCCATAAACATTTAAAGGTGCTCTACGTCAATTTACCAGCTTTAAAAATGTGAAAAACAGAAGTGGTTCATTTGCAAAGATCCTAAAGTTATTCCTCACATACCTTATGCATTTCGAGCGTCTGAATTACTCACCACGATGAGTTCATAAGCACTTTTCAGTATTTTAATCAGTATTTTGTGTTTTTTGTAACAGACTTAGATGTCCCATTACATTATCGATCTATGGGTGTCACAATGAAGAAAACAGTGTTGCCATTACGATTAGAAAACAAAATATTATCTCTTGAATTATAATGTCAGAAAGCTGAAACCACAAATACGATACATAGACACTGTTTTCTACGTTTTCCATAAACATTTAAAGGTGCTCTACATTATTTTATCATCTTTAAAAACGGGAAAAGCAAAAGTAGTTCATTTGCAAAGATCCAGAGTTATTCCTCACTTACCTTCTGCATTCCGAGCATCCGAATTACTCACCACGATGAGTTTATAGTCGCTTTTCACAGCTTCGAGACCAGACTTTTGCCAACGTGCACTTCCTGATTATCGGACAATAAACACTTCGTAATTAGAAGAACACGTTAGACTTATTTGATTTTGATTTATGCATTTATTTTGGGCAAGTAAGAAATGTACATTCTTTTACTATGGAACACATAACATTAATAATGAAACCACAGCAGAAATAACAACAAAAAAATACAAAATAAAAAAATTGGCCCAAAAAATTTAGTGCTAAGAAGAAAATGTATTTAATCCCACCTCCTTCTTCTTCTTTGTCTTCTTTGTCCTCTCCATCTTCTTCATCATCTTCATCTTCTCCGTCGTCTTTGTCTTCCTTTTGGTCTTCTCCATGTTCGTCTTTTTCTTCTTTTTCTTCTTCTTTTTCGAGAGCTGTTTTTATAATATATCTGTACAAGATCATTTTTCCTTAAATACACGGGGAAAAAATCAGGTACAGTATCTTTTTAAGTGACTGCACTGTCTTCAAATACTACTAATACTACTATACTATACTACTACTATATTTCAGTGAGTGCTTAATGTAGTTTGGGCTAATTAAAATGGTTGCCCTTGGAGATATGTGGCAATAAATATGGATTATATAAGATAAGACATAGAGAATTATAGCAGTGAAGAGTGCACTGTGCATAAAAAAAACTGCAGTATTCTAACTAAGACAGTATAGTAATGTCTGCATATTTAAATGACTGCTGTCCCATGCTCATGCTATGGTCCTATACTGCCCCCTGTGGACAGCATAGAGCCTAACACCCTCTCCCTCACTGTATACACCACACTACTGGAGTCTATAGGCAATGATGTCACGTCTTATAGAATCGATTTAGTGCTGTTTCTTTGCTTCTGCGCCACAAACCTCGAGAGACAAAAATATAGTAACATAGATATGAGATTTTTAAAAATTTGTTTACATTTTGGCTTGACTACGGTGAAAATATAAAGAATTTAACTGGTAAATCCCTGGTACAATTCATCTCCCATCTGAATATTTTTTCATTCAGAAGTACATCATTGTAAAAATTGTGTAGCGCCATTGTTCTTGTATGGACTCTTAATACACAAATACATTAGTGATAATAGAAAACCATATATAATATATAACATAAGGAGTATTGGGGACCAGAAGTGGGACCAAGTCGTTGTTTTGCGAGTCTCAAGTAAGTCTAAAGTCTTTGACCTCAAGTCCCAGGTCAAATACAGGCAAGTCCAAGTCGAGTCTCGAGTTACTGGCCGATAAGTCCAAGTCAAGTCCAAGTCGTCTGCTTTGAACTTCAAGTCTTTTCAAGTCTTAAAACCAAAGTACCAAATATAGCTTAGATTTTTGCAATTTATATGAATTTTAAACTGAATTGTACTTAAAACATCATGGTGTATTTATACATGAGTATTTATAAAGAGTATAAAAGAGTATACTAGAATTGTGGAAATTAATTTAGTTCTTTTTTTTTTTTTTAATGTCTTGACAAGATCTTAGTGTGAATCACTACGGTCCGAATAGAAATAATTCAGATTTAAAAGTGCGTCTCATGTCCTCTCAAGTCCAAGACCTTAAAGTCCAAGTCGAGTCCCAAGTCTTAGTCCATTTTATCAAGTCAAGTCTTAAAATAGCGACTCAAGTATGACTCAAGTCCAAGTCACGACTTGCATGTTCCCGCCTTTGTGGGGAACTATTGTGAAATTTCTATACTATAAAAAAACTGAGAAGTTGTCTTGAATAAAGTCTGATTTATTAAAGCAACTGTGCCCACAATTGTAGCCTGTCCTGTCCCTAAAACAGTAACTGTAACAATGCACACACAGTCCACAGAATAATACAAGCATAAAAATAATAAAAAACAGTGGAATGATGGAATAACGAGGTAGCAACTCCGTGAGAATTTTACAGAGGCACAAGGCCAGAGTGTCTACAGGATTAGAACAGGTTATTAGTTGAAAAACCATGACCATTAATCAACCTAAACCCAGTAAAAGAGTTAAGACTAGACTAAAATATAAGATAATGTATAAATATAAATGTAAGACTAAAATATGATATAAAGTTGGCCTATTTGGGAAAAAATATTCAGTGTTCATTTAGGACGTCAAACTCAAGTGGCTGAGTTTGCCTGAGTTCATGTCAAACTCAGGCAAGGGGGACAAATTGGGCCTGCGATATAATTATATTTGGCCCGCAAGATCATATCAAATATGTATTAGAGCTGCCCACCAGCTACAGATCGACTATAAAGACATTATTTAAAATGTTGTCATTATTTTACATTAGGCTTGTTCTGGATTCAATGCTTAAGCAGAACTACTATTAAATATTTATTTTAATAAGAAAAAGTTTAACATTACATATCTAATAAGAAGAGAAAACATACAGATGTTGTTGAAGGTTTGGTTTGGCCCATGATAGTCCCAGTTTTAAATTTTGGCCCTCTGTGAATTTGAGTTTAACACCCCTGGATTAGAGTAAAGATTTCCATATAAATGCTTCTTGTAAACAGTCTTCTCTCTCCTCAGACTCTGTACATGTTCCTGGCTCTGGCGATCACCTGTGACGAGTACTTTGTGACGTCTCTGGAGAAGATCTGTGAGGTAGGATTCTGCACGTTTACTTTACACTACACATTCAGTTTCTGTCAAGTTATTCGAATAATTCCTTTTAGCCGTGGTCAGTAAAACGCCCTTGTACTTTTTCACGAGTCTGTCACAATAATACAGTAATAAATAAGGAGCAAAATTTAACCCAAACGAGTCCTTGAAGTTATATATTCAACCTTCCACCTCGACGAAAAATAATACCAAATATGAATCTGGCTCCAAATGATTATTCCTTCTATGACTTTCTGAACAATAAACAGGCCTAAACACTCACTCTCCTCTCTGTCGTCCTCACATGTTTACCTTGACTCACGGCGCAGTAGGACATATTTGCACAGGTCTGTTTACATGTGTGTCCTGTGTTTTGGTGTAGAAACTGGACCTGAGTGAGGACGTAGCAGGAGCCACGTTCATGGCGGCGGGCAGCTCTGCTCCCGAGCTCTTCGCATCAGTCATCGGTACGTGCACATTATATATACACATTTACATTTGCCCTTCAACATATACAATACCTACGCAGTATAAATATCAGGGATGAGCCAATACGATGCTGGTGTAGGATGTTGTTGCAGAAAACGTTGCTGTATCTGATATCGGTTCATCTGATTATCCTGTTTGGGCCTTTTAATTTGACGTGTCCAATTAGAATAAGAAAGTAAAATGCTACAAATTGTACTTAACTACCATATTTTTCGGACTATAAGTCACTCCAGAGTATAAGTCGCACCAGCCAGAAAATGCAAAATGAAGAATAAAAAATATAAGGCACACTTTTTGGAGGAAATTTATTTGATTAAATCAGAGATCAGGAACCGACATTTCATCTTGAAAGTCAAGTTCTAGTAAAAACAATAGAACAGAGAACAACAGACTGTTAACGTATGAACAGTTCTTCAGATAAACTATAACAAACATATTATGCAAAATACTGTTGCATTTTTTTTTACATTTAATGTTTAAGGAATCATTCAACCATAGAAACTTTGTCCATTGCCACTGATAATTTGGCTGCCACTTGTTCACGGTCCTTTGCATCTGTGTAGATCTGAACATTTGAACAGAATCTCAGCAGAAAGAGCTGACTTGCCGCATTTTTTGAATTATAAGTCGCTCCGAAGTATAAGCAGCAGCCAAAAATGCATGAAGAAGAAAAAAACATGTATAAGTCACACTTTTTTGGGGAAATTTGTTTTATAAAATCAGAAACCAGGAAAAGTTAAGTTCTAGTAATAACAATAGAACAGAGAACAACAGACTGTTAACGTCACATATGAACAGTTCTTCAGATAAACTATAACATAAACAACAGAACAGAACAAGTTTACCAAACTCTCCATCTCACTCCAAATCACTAAATCCACTGAATTCTTCATCCTCGCTGTCACTTCTGAGCAACTCCGCCAACTCCAGCTAAATCTTGTCGTCTGCGATGAGCTTTTTTTGTTTTCTTCATTGCAGTTCGAGCATCCTCCGCTTTTCCCCCAGTCCCTCACAATTTCTTCGCTCACTCTAAACTTTTTTCGGCTGCGTATTTCACTCCTTGCGACTTGTAATGTGCAGAATATGATTTCCAGTTTATCGCCGTGTGATAAAATAAGTTATGATGCTAAATGAACTTTAGTGAGTGGGATATGTCTTAATGACCCGTATGCGTCAAATGCACATGAGTGAGACATTTGTTCACATCATTTATGCAAACCTCAGTAGCCGGACATCCACTCATACTTGATCGATACTACAACTAGCCCCACCTCGGCCCCGGGGAGCCTGAAATCTGCTGAAATCCTACAAGACACTGACACAGACAGGACAGAGGCTCTTTCTGCAGGAGACATGTGCAGTAGAGAGCCAGGTGACAATGGTACAGGAGTAATAGGAGTAGCAGATACTGACACACAAGACTAGAGCGCCCTCTCCAGGCTGAAATTATATAGGACCACCCACCCACATGGTCCTTTTCCTCCTGATTTCTGTTGGACTTTTCTCACGTTGTCTCCACTCTCAGGTTGTGTCCACTGCGCTTCCTCTGATTGTCTGTCCCTTCACACTGTTCTCGTCTTCATCAGCCCTGATCGGCCATTTCCTCCCATGTTCATGTCCTCCATGCCTCTGATTGACTGTCTCCTGTCCTCCATGTCTCTGATTGACTGTCTCCTGTCCTCCATGTCTCTACTTGACTGTCTCCTGTCCTCCATGTCTCTACTTGACTGTCTCCTGTCCTCCATGTCTCTACTTGACTGTCCTCTCCTGTCCTCCATGTCTCTGCTTGACTGTCTCCTGTCCTCCATGCCTCTACTTGACTGTCTCCTGTCCTCCATGTCTCTACTTGACTGTCTCCTGTCCTCCATGTCTCTAATTGACTGTCTCCTGTCCTCCATGTCTCTGATTGACTGTCTCCTGTCCTCCATGCCTCTACATGACTGACCAGTGTCCTCCATGCCTCTGTCTCCTGTCCTCCATGTCTCTACTTGACTGTCCCCTGTCCTCCATATCTATGATTGGCTGTCTCCTGTACTCCGTGTCTCTGATTGACTGTCTAATGTCCTCCATGCCTCTGATTGGCTGTCCCCTGTCCTCCACTTGACTGTCCCCTGTCCTCCATGTCTCTGATTGGCTGTCTCCTGTCCTCCATGTCTCTCATTGGCTGTCCCCTGCTGTCCTCCATGTCTCTGATTGGCTGTCTCCTGTCCTCCATGCCTCTCATTGGCTGTCTCCTGTCCTCCATGTCTCTCATTGGCTGTCTCCTGTCCTCCATGTCCTCTCATTGGCTGTCTCCTGTCCTCCATGCCTCTCATTGGCTGTCTCCTGTCCTCCATGTCTCGCTTGACTGTCTCCTTTCTTGTCTCTGATTCTCTGGTTGTCTCTTCACTTTGTCTCCTTCTCCATACCTCTGATTGGCTGCCTTCTTTCTTTGTCTCTGTCATCCTTGCCTCTGATTGGCTGTCTCTTGTCCTCCATTTCTCTGATTGGCTGTCTTCTGTCCTCCATGTCTCTAATTGGTTGTCTCCTTTCTTTCATTTTGTCTCTGATTCTCTAGTTGTCTCTTCACTTTCTCTTCTTCTCCATACATCTGATTGGCTGCCTCCTTTCTTTGTCTCTGTCCTCCTCGTCTCTGATTGGCTGCCTCTTTGCTTCGTCCCCTTCTCCATGTCCCTGCTTGACTGTCTCCTTTCTTTCTTCCGTTTCCTTTTGTCTCTACTTCTCTGGTTGTCTCTTCACTTTGTCCCCTTCTCCTTACATCTGATTGGCTGCCTCTTTTCTTCGTCCCCATCCTCCCTGCCTCTGATTGGCTGCCTCCTGACTTTGCCTCTGTCCCCGCAGGCGTCTTCATCACCCATGGCGACGTGGGCGTGGGGACCATCGTGGGCTCGGCCGTCTTCAACATCCTCTGCATCATCGGCGTGTGCGGGATCTTCGCCGGACAGGTGCGCTCCCGTCTCGCTCGCGCCTGATGTTCGCGGCGGGTTTCCGACGGCACATGTGGTCCACTCGAGTCCGCTGAAGGAGAACTAAACCATCTGCTCATTTGGCTCCACACAAACTCATATTTACGACGACCACAAATATTTGGAATGCACAGATGAGAGAAAAGGGAATAATGCAACTGCCAGCTCTTATAAAAATGTGCGAGGATGTAGTTAAATGGACCATATTACGCTATTTTCCGATCTATATTATAATGTTTCCTCATCACAAACACCTGGAGTTGTGTTTTGTTTCATTCACGCTTGTTTATCGCACAAACTCTGCAAATTTAGGCTGAGTTCTTCTCCCAAACTAAAAACAATCTCTTTTCCACTCTGTCCTGTTAAACTCCATGCACCTTCACTACAATAATTTGGATCATTTAAGCCCTGAAATTGCCAAACTTTACTGAACAAAAGGTAAATGGTTAGGGGTGTAACCATATCCGAGTCTCACGATACGATATTGTCACAGTATGAACCTCACGGTACGATATTTATTGTGATATCGTTGGAAAGCTCAAGATATGGTGTGGAGGCTCACGATTGGGGATGTAACAATATCCAAATCTCTCTGTACGATATTTCACGATATACATCTCACGGTACGATATTTATCTCGATATTTTGTGGAGGCTAATAAAACTGTTAATATGCAATTTTTTCCTCTTAAAATGCCTTGACAAGACTTCAAAGTGCTTAGAACTGTTATTTCTTCTTGTAGTCTGCACAGAAATGGAGCAAAGGATCATGGTCTATGTAGTTCCCTCTGTCTTTTTGTCTATTGCTGCACCATAACTCTTAATTTAAGCAAACAGACTTGTAATTCGATATATTGTGATGGTCCACGATATGATTGTGAGAACTTTGACAAAACGATATCACGATATTTCGGTTATTGTTACATCCCTATAAATGGTAGCTGTTGACTTGAACTTCTGCTAAATGACATCACAAGGTGGAACAGCATTTTCAGCTTTAGAGATGTACACAGAGTAATACACCAGGATAACTCAAACATGTGTAAATGAAACTAAACACAACTCCAGGTATGTTTCTACTGAGGTAACATGGCTTAAAACACTCTTGGAAGGGCCTATAATTAATGTATATACTGTATAAGATCTTGAATTATCTAGTTCTTTAAGATTTTTGTATTAATTTGGTGAGTGTGTTTTATTGACAGGTGGTGATGCTGACCTTCTGGGCCGTGTTCAGGGACTCGTTCTACTACATCCTGTCCGTCATTGCTCTGATCGCAGTAAGTTCAGTTCACTTCAGTTCTGTGGATTTAAGCAAAAATAATCCCCCATAGACTACACCTTATAAACTAACTAAATGTACGTCTCCCTCTGCAGTTCATCTATGACGAGAAGATTGTCTGGTAAGTTTCACAATAATTTCACTTTCACTAAATCCTATGTGATGTAATAATACACTTTATCATCATTCAAATAGTAAGTAAGTTTTTATTTATGTAGCGCTTTGCACAGACATATGTCACAAAGACGCTTTACAGATCATTCACATTTATTCATTCACTCTACACCCGGTGGTGGTAAACTACTACTGTAGCCACAGCTGCCCTGGAACAGACTGATGGCTGCCAATCTGCGCCATCAGTTCCTCCGACCAGAGGTGGGGACTTGTAAGTCGTGAATTGGGCTCGAGTCAGACTTGACTTGATAAAATGGACTAAGACATGGGACTCGACTTGGACTTAAAGCTCAGTGGCTTGGGACTTGACTCGGACTCATGGCCTGTGACTTGAGAAGACTTGATGCTTCTCCTAAAAAATAGGTTTTTAGAAAATACTCTTTACAGTTGATAAATACAGTGCTTAATTTTACAGGAACAAACTGGAACATGTCCCTCCCACTTCACTATTTGTTTCTTTGGATGTAACTGAAGTACTGTGATGTGGTATCCTCAAACGTACTACAGTAATATACAGTACAATAAAGTAATATACAGTATTATACAGTAAAACAAAGAGAACTACAAAGAACATGATCTTTCCATTTTGAGTGCAGACTACATGACAAAATAACAGCATTTTTAAATCTGAATTCTTTCCATTCTGACCATAACGATTTGCACTAAGATCTTGTCAAAGACATTTAAAAAGGAAAAAGTTGCATTTCTACAACTATAAATACTCATATATAAATATACCATGACTTTTTCAGTACAATTTAGTTTAAAAGTTATATAAATCGCTAAAATCTAAGATATATTTGGTTCTTTGGTTTAAAGTCTTGAAATGACTTGAACTTGACTTGGACTTATGGGCCAGTGACTCGAGACTTGACTTAGACTTGTCGGTCTTTCACTTTGGACTTGACATGGACTTGAGTTCAAAGACTTGAGACTTACTTGAAACTTGCAAAACAACAACGACTTGGTCCCACCTCTGCCTCCGACCACCAGCGTCTCTCACGCGTACACCACTTTCATACTGGGCGAGACGCTTCACCCACATTGTCAAAGGACACAATGAAGTTTTTGCGACTGGCGCCCCACTGTGGCACCTGATTTTCCCAGTGGTCTCCCATCCAAGAACCAACCAGGCCCCGCTGAGCTTTTACAGGATGGTACGGCGACAAAATGAATGTATTCTGATTGTAATATCTACTTTTGTGTTTCCAGGTGGGAGAGCGTGGTGCTGGTCGTCATGTACGCAGGATACATCTTGGTCATGAAGTAAGTCCTACACAGCTCTGTCACTAAAGATGTATTTTCTTCAAATGGCAGTATGAGTCAGGTGGTAGAGGCGTTTGGTCGTTTGTCCCGTGCTGGTGACCTGACCGTGCTTTATGTTCATCTTCGGATTAGAATGTTCCACTGTTCCAACTTTTCTGTCTGGCTTTGCTTTACTAATGAGGGACTCTGTGCTCTGGGCTGTGTGGGCTGTGGGTTTGTACAGATCCATAGGGAGAAACCGTCAAATGGTGTGTGGCAGGATGAGGTTTGTAAATACTCTATTATTTATGTCTCTTTATGTATTTCTCTTCTAAGTGGCTTTGGTTATGCACAGGATGTGGAATTTGATTTGATGGGAGGAATCTGATTTCTGTCAGATTGTTCATGCCAGGTTTCTTCTCTCAATAATCGTAAAACTTTTATTATTTAAAATATTATATTTCGACATTGCTGCCCTTTATTATTATTATTATTTTTTTTGTTGAATTGTTTTAACTGAAACCATGACCAGCGATGCACTGATCTATGTTCCAATACCTGATATCAACAGATACTAGGGCAGAGAAAATACCATTTATCTTTTAAACACAAATGATGTATGGTTAAAAATCATCCAAATAGGTTTTGTAACTGTTATTTATCATTTAAAGTAATTACCAAGCGACTTTGTAAAAATAAATGTTCAATATTATGAGACAGTTTGGGCCAACATTGTACAGTAAATCGTCTTACTGTCCAGTTTCGGTGGATCTTTAACTATGACCCTATATAGCAGGGCTCTCCAACCTTTTTTCTCTGGTAAGTTACGTTTACAAAATAAAAATGCCAGAGAGCTGCTCATTTCAGCAGTCACAAGAATCTGAGTAAATATTAGAGCCTTAGATGGGGCACAGTTAGCCTGCTTCATCAGCCGGTTTCACTTTGTAGAAACCGTCTGACCTGGCAGTGTTAGAATTCATTCGCTCGACAGTAGGCGGGTACTTTTTATCATTTAACCAGTCGCTGCCATTTGGTTGTTACGTATGTAATGTGTGATAACAGGGCTAACTGGTATATAAAGCTTTTCCAAAATCCCGTAGGAAGAAGGGCAATAACGTCTTTCTCCTTGATAAAATTCACGAAACATTCTCTTTATTCCATCTTTAAATCCTCGATCTCGGGAATCATTGACAACACTGAATGTATGGCTCTTTGCTGTTTGGCTGGTGCCCAAACTTGCACTTCTGGGGTTTTTATGAACCATCTATTGTATTCTGATTCCTGACTTGGTCGCTGGAGAGAAATGAAACTGAGCAGAGGCACTAGGTGGCGCCAGCCTGGTTAGGGTACAGTTTGATGCCTGCAAAACATTTACACAACTATTATCCATTTATTAGTGCACAAACATTGGCATCAGAATGATACATTTACAATGGTAATGGGCAAGTAATTAAATCAAATTTGAGTCATTCAGCACAATATGTATAATTCCGAAAACCTTTGGCAAGCTATTTGGAAGAGGGTCGTGAGCTACTGGTAGCTCCTGAGTTACAGGTTGGAGACCCCTGCTAGATAGTATTTCACATTTAAACGGGGGCAGAGGGAAAATGAAGGTTGACAGAGGATATATTTTAGTATCCCCATAGAAAAATGTGTTCTCTGCAAGCCTGTTTACACTAGAACGCTTGCGGGTAAAAACGGCAAAATATTTTATGGGAAGTGCCTTTAGTTTAGACGGTGACGGCCTTTTTGGGGCTTAAAAAATGCAAAAATCTGAAACCACCCTCCAGAGTGGAAAAGTTGAACACACTCCGCTGTAGCGTTTCCGTCTACACTGCCCAAGACGCAAAACTCTGGTCAGATCTGCTCACGTCACGTACACGTTTAGGTCACACACATCACTACTTAGCCACCTTTCATGCATGCCCAATATAAATTCCACACACTTTTGCATCATCGTTTGCACACAGATTTCCTCCCGAAAACGGTCGTCTAAACACGGAATAAAAAGGTGAAGCGCGATGCCACTTTTACCTCTTCTGTTCAGACCGTCATCATATAAACATAGCCTGAATTGGAGCCTTCATTCAGTGCTTCTGGGGCATCCGATCAGGAGTACCCAGATGGAGAAATAATCTATACGCCCAAAACGACCTACAATAAAGACCTCTCTTCTGTGCACCAACTGCCTCCTGAAAATCTGCTAAACCAGGACCATTTTTGCCCGAATAGAATATGGCTCCATATTACTGCCAATCATGCCCTCGCCTCCACTGTGCCCCCTCTGTAATCTGGCTCTCTCCCCCAGCAGCAGCAGCCTCTCTCTGGGCAGGGACAGGCTAATCTTCCCCTGCCCCGTGGATAAGAACCGGGGCTAAAGCCTGATCACAGTCTTCTGCTCATTTAGTGTGAGAAAATCTGGCTTCAGAATGTCTGGGCGCTTCAAATCTGCACCGGTCCATTCTGGGCCTGAGTCGGTGTTTTAATTGGAGTAAGTGGAGTGTTGACGGATGACAGATGGGGCCAACTACGAGCACGACGTTAGGTGTAATTACTTTTGTTAGTATGGAGATTTTTCTGGACTTTTTGAACCTTGTCGCAAACTTGAATTATTAGATGCAGCCATTTTCGAAAATCTATTTGACAATTTTTGTGGGAATACAAACTCTGGTCACTACTACCAACTACTATTACTACCACTGCTACACACGGCATTTCTGGGTGACAACAGTCTATAAGTAGAGCACGGAAAGAGAGCTATTTCTGAATTTAAAAGGGTCATACCCTTTGTGCAAAATAGTAGAGGACAGTTAATTTTGCCCCAGCACAGGTATGTTGTAAAAGGAACTAAAAATGAAAGTCCTTAGTGTTAGGGATGTACTGATCCAGTTTTCCTGTTCCAATACTGATGTTAATACTATGGCTTTAAGTAGCTGACGATATTAACAGTACAGAGACTCAGATTATTTATTCTTTTAAAGGCAAAAGGAGAAATTCAATTTGTCACCTGGGCAAAAGTTTATTTAATTGAATGCGTTTCGCTTCTTCAGTTCTGGTCAGAATGTTGGTGGAGAGTTTCTTATATCTGCGTGAAAAGAGGAGCTAACTACGATGAAACTAACACACCTACTTGTTTACAGTTTCTATTCGTTAGCTCGGTTTATTGAACTTGGAGTGTGGGGTCATATTAGCAGAATCATTCAGGACCATAACGGTAGCTTTCACACCTCTGGACCTGACCTGGCTTTCCTTATTGTTTTCTCAGTTTCAGAGCAGTTTCATTGTAGTTAGCTCCTAGCCAGGCTGGCATCACCTAGTGCCTCCGCTCAATTTCATTTCTCTCCAGCGACTAGGTCAGGAATCTGAATACACTAGGCTGTTTGCAAGAACCCCTGCGAGTTCGGGCACTAATCAACGAAGAGCCAGACATTCTGTGTTAACGATTCCCGAGATCGACGATTTAAAGCCAGAATAAAGAGAATGTTTGGTGAATTTTATCAAGGGGAAAGACACTATTGCCCTTCTTCCTACGGGATTTGGGAAAAGCTTAATTATACGTGACTACCAAATAGCAGCAATTGGGTAAATGATAAAAAGTACCCACCTACCATCGAGCGAACAAAGTCTAACACTGCGAGGTCAAACGGTTTCTACAAAGTGAAACCGGCTGATGAATCAGGCTAGTGGGAGGTTATCACGGTTTAGACTTCGTTGGTGCACAGGTCTCTTGGCACGTTCCGCAATCTCATCAGACTGCGGTGAGCAACCTTCAGAGGTGTTGCATCTTTCTCCCTTTACTTAAGAATCTTGCTGGAATCATCAGGGTGACGAGTCATGATTCAGCACATCTCTATCAGTATCAATAAGTCCTTGCCCTATTTAGTTACTAGTTCGCTGTTAGATGCTTTAGAATATCATGCATTTGTCTTGGCCTATATCTGAGTCTCACAGCTGTGGTCAGAGCTCTTATCTTCACACGACCTCGGTACAATAATGAACTGTGGCAGTGGTTAAACAAAATAGCTGAGCCTAGTTATTTATCCTAACAAAAGTCCTTAGTGTTAGGGATGCACTGATGCAGCTTTCTCTGTTTCGATACTGATGTTAATATTATGGCTTTAAGTAGCTGCTGATACCCGATATTAACCGATATCAGTGCTAGTGAGATTATTTATTGTAACCTAACAGAACAGCATTGTAAAGATGGATGGATAGATGTATAGATAAACTTTGTCTGTCCTAGCACACATTCTAATATATGTACACATGATATTTATACAGCTTTCTTTAGATACAGCATTTTGAGGGGCCATGTTACATCTGATCATAAAAAATAAGCCCAAATAATAATTGAGTAAAACACTTTAGAAGTATAATTTCATCAGAAAGTTGGAGCTCCAAGCAGCACTTTGTTACATCATTCTAAGTCTAAAGAAGTCCTCATCTGTATTCATATCGACAGTTGGTTTTCTGAAGCTGGGAGGGCATCCTGTTCTTTCCAAACACAGTATCAAGTCCGTTACATGTGAACTGTTGTCACTAGTGTCATAGTACTAGAGACCGGTCTTGGCCTCGAGACTTTTTTTTTATTTTTATTTTTTATACAGTCTTGGCCTCATCTCAGACTCAACTGCTTTTGAACTCTGTCTGGTCTCGGTCTCGAAGGCGTTTGGTCTCGGTCTTGTCTCGGTCTTGGTGGTGTTTGGTTTCGGTCTTGATGGCGCTTGGTCTCGGTCTTGTCTCGGACTCAAGGACTGAGACTCGACAAGTTTATATTTCATTATGGCTGCTGCTGTCGGCAATAAACTTCTTACTGTGATATGTGGCTGAAGTCTGCCTAATAAAAGTGCACAAATGCATCTGTATTTGTCACGATTGGTAAATATACAGAGGCTAAATCCCACTGCAAAACCAGTAGAAGAATGTAACTCCAGTTAGGAACTTGAAAAAACTGATTTAAAATCCTTCACGCTTTCTTCACTTTCTTTAGTTTTCAAAAGTGCCAGTGATGAGGGACTGTG